TACTCTACTTAAAGAACATAGGTACATTTAATACAAAATATTTATTGTCAATTTTTGTGGTTTATAAAAAATATAGGTAGTAATAGGTAATTATTTTGAAATAAAATTTATGTTGTATTAAAAAGTACTTAATTACTTACATGTTTTTTAATTCTGCATTTTCTTTTTCTGCAACAGAGGCTTCATGGTTTAGATCATCACTGAAAAATTAAAAATTTTGAACGATTAACCCACAAAAAAAGTGCAGAGTTCTTTACCTTTTAGATTCAACTTCTTCTGGGGCCTCAGTAAATGCTGATAGCAATGTACCTGGAATTAATCTAGTTCCTCCTCCGCATCCAGTCTTTGACATAAATATAAATCCAGAAAAATGATTGGAACATAGAACATCCCTTGAAATGTTTTCTGGAGTAAGTTTTAATATATTTCACCAAATGCGTTTTTTCGGCGGGATTAGTTGGAAACCTACAAAAAACTAATGTAACAACCAGTTAATCCTAAAGACCAACGCTCGTCACCAAATGTAACAACCAGTTAGCCTAATGACCATTTGTAACTACTGATAGGTCTTTAGCTACTGTTGTTAATATACTATTAAGGGATTAGGGCAGCGACGTCACCAGCCAAAGGGTCCTGGAGTCCTTAAGGAACATCCATTCGCCAGTGGCAAAAAAAATAAAGAAAAAATAATAAAATACAAAAAAACATCCCTTAATAGCATATGTCGAGCGGTTCTTGGCAACTAGTTTTAGACTCTTTTAGTCCTAAGGGAATAGAAACGCCGAGGCTTCTCAAATGCTCGGAGTATTTTGCTGGTTTGGAAAGGGAGGAGAGATTAATAATAAGTATTAAAACATTAACAAATGTATATTAACAATAACTATAAAACTTGACAAATAGCCTTCAGTAAAAATGAATAAAATTCCATTTAGGGAATAACGCACTATAACTAATAGTAATAAAGATATGCATAAGATATAATTCGGGACGAAAATGTAAAATTGGCATTTATATGTAAATCAATAAATCAATTATTATTAAACAAAATTAAGTTAAAATATTTACCCATAATTCACATCGTACAAAAAAAAAACTTTACACATTACTTTACAATACAAAACCAGGGTTTCCCCCAAGGGGCGAAAGTTCTGGACCTTAGTCCGAACCCGACTGAGCGTTTACCCAAGTGATACTTTCTATATAAACCAAAATGTATGTGACTGTTGCTTGTATTTAACAATGTCACGTTCAATGTAGATTAATAAATTGAAGGTTTGTTTCATTGTGTCTTTTTAATTATTTAATTTAAACATTAAATACTTGTTTAGAATTTTTGGTAAATTCTTTAGATTTTTTCAATTAATAATAATGCCAATTATTACACTAAAATTATTGATTTAACATCTTCAACGTTATCATGATAAAATGACTTAAAAACAAAAAGCTTGTTTATATTGAAAAATTATGATTATTTTTTTTTAACTTTTCATTAGAGTCCAAAATCAAAAACAATATTCCTCATACATAATATTAGTTCTTTAAATTTAATTCACTAAATTATGCTTCACATCCTTGTTAGTGGAAATAAAGATAACCATGTAGTATACCTATGTTACGCCGCTGACTCACATGTTTAGATTTAAAATTTTACGTCACTCTATCGCTGCCTTTCTACATTACTCATTACCAATTGTTGTGTCGCCTGATTCACATCGTAAAACCGACCACAGTCCATGTGTAAAAACTATCGAAAATCGTATTGGAAATACGATAAATTAAAAAAGAAATGAAGGAATTCAGAGCACAGGTAGGAGAATAATGTTTTTCTTTTTATTTAACTGATTTTTAGCTTGCAGAAGATACTACTTCATGTGTAAATTTCTGCATTTAGACGACAAATAAATATACAGAAGATACTACTTTATGTGTTAACGATGCAGTCATTCATAAAATCTGTCTGCAAAACGAAAAATGCTACTTAATGTGCAAATTTCGCAAAACTTTGATGAGGACAGATACTACTTTATGTGTAAATTCTGCATTATAGACAAATACATGTACAGAGGAGGCTACTTTATGTGTTAACTCTGATCTTATACTAGTACAGGTTTGAGAATGGTTTTCTTCATAATTTAATTGATTTTTAGCTTGCAGAAGATACTGCTTTACTGTAAATTTCCGAATTTAGACGACATATAAATATGCAGAAGATACATTACTCATATAAGCCGTATGCAGAGCGAAAAATGCGACTTTATGTGCAAATTTCGCAAAACTTTTGTGGCGGAAGATACTACTTTATGTGTAAATTCTGCAAATAACAAATAACTATACAGAGGAGGCTACTTTATGTGTTAACTCTGATCTAATACTTACATTATGCAAGCCCAGCTAACTGCAACGCGAAAAATGCTACTAAATGTGAAAATTTTGTAAAATTTTGGTCGATAGGATACTATTTTATGTGTAAATTATTTAAGCTAAATAAATGTTCAGAGAAGGCTACTTTATGTGTTAACGCTGATTTCATACTTATAAACTGCAAACTCGGCTAACTGCAACTCGAAAAATGCTACTTAATGTGTAAAACTTTGATTGAGAAGATACTATTTTATGTGTAAGTTCTGCATTCAAGCAAAATAAATCTACAGAGAAGGCTACTTTATGTATTAGCTCTGATCTTATACTTTGCTAATTGCAGCGCGAAAAATGTCTCTTAATGTGTAAAGTTTGTAAAACTTTGGCTCCAGAAGATACTATTTTACGTGTAAATTCTGCACTTAAGCCAAATAAATATACCAAGAAGGCTACTTTATGTGTTAACTCTGATCTTATATTTATAAACTGCAAACTCGGCTAACTGCACCGCGGAAAATGCAACTTAATGTCTAAATTTTAATGTATAAATTCTGCATATTATTGCAAAATAAATGTACAGAGAAAGCTACTTTATGTATTAACTCTGATCTTATACTTAGCCTAGCTAACCGCACCGCGAATAATTCTACTTAATGTGTAAATTTCGCAAAACTTTGGCCACAAAAGATAATATTTCATATGAAAATTCTGCATTATAAACAAATAAATGCACAAAGGAAGCTGCTTGATGTGTTAAATCTAATCTTATACTTATAAGATGCTAGCCCGGCTAACCGCAATGCAAAAAATGCTACTTAAAATGTAAACTTCAAATAACTTTGGAAGCAGAATGTAGGTACTATGTAAATAAATAAATAAATGTCTGGTAACTCTTGTCTTATGCTTATAAAATGCAAGGACGCAAAAATGCTACGCAAAACTCATTGATTATATTACTGTATGGGTAAATCATGCACCTTAAAAAAAAATAATAATAAAATGCCCCTTTATGTGCAAATGAATTAGCCATTGATTAAATATTGATTTAAGTTGATTCAAAATCAGAATCTAAGAAGTATATATATTAAACTCGTCATCTTCACCAGAACAGACGTTCGAATAGTAAGGATCAAACTCAGTATCAGGATATTCTGGGAGCGGATCCTAATAGCAACATCTCTCTCGGAAAACCAATCAACGACGGTTTGGACGGTTCGGAGAATGGCAAAATATCAAAGTTTCTTTGCGAAATAAAAATCTGGAATACTTTCACTTGGGTCCCCCACCTTAAACTCCGAACCAAAAAGTTTAGTGACTAGTCACGTCATCAAATAAAACCGTCAGATATTTATATATGCTGCAAGATCAACTTGAAAAGTGATGGGAAGTTTAGCTGAACCTCTGTAAGCTAGGCTTGGAGGGAACAGAAATAGACGCATCAAAACAAATGCAAATGTAACAAAAGTATTATCAGACATCTACCACAGAATAAATGCATCGTAGGCACCTTATATGTCCGTCTTTAAACACAAATGTGAAAAATATGATAGAAAAAGCAGATATCGATAGTTTTTCATTTTGGAAAGAATCTTGTAGAGATATGGAAGTCAGACAAAGCATTTGAAAAACTAGCATACATTTAATTTAAAGGCACTAACTAAAAGCAAACAATAATTTCAGTCAGTCTTTAAACTTCAGGCGCCTACTTTTAAATAGCGACTGAAGAAAACCAGGCTAGAGAAAAAACAGAAAAAAAAAGAAAATAAATAAAAAATAAAAGACCCAAAGGACGAACCAACAAGTATTCAGAGAAACAGAGAGGGGAGAAGGCCGTACATGGTTCATTTCTTATTTAAAATTGGGGGGTTGGAGAAGTGGAAGGGAGGGAGTTGACACATGACAGATGTCTGTATTGTAAAAATGTGTTTAATTTTGGAATCAAAATCGACCTGTTTTAGCTTTTTCTTAAAATCCAATGATTAATGCCGAAAAACAGGATGAAACTGTTTTGAGTGACCCGCACTCTGTATATCAAAAATGGCTAGATTTATTGAATTAGTTCATAAAACAAAATCTGCTTGGGAGTTGTTATTGATACACCCTCTATAAAAAAAAATGTTTCAAGTATGTGGAAAATGTATATATTTAGTTAATCCTCTAAACTTTTAGAAAGGTGCTACAATAGGTTTTACAAACTAACCGGACAACCTGTAATAACTAGATAGGAAAGTCATGTGTTGGCCACATCAGATTTTTAAATATTGCAACCTTAAATATGACCTTTATTATTACTGTTCTTTGTGTCGATGGGGTGCCCTTTAATTTTTTCCTAATTTCCTGTTTCAAAAAATATTTATTGATAACTTTTGCAATTTAAAATTAGGAATTGTGAATCTTGATATAATATTATGGTGATATTATTTGTGGTTTTGTTTTTGATCACGCTGTTTCAGAACATAGAAATTGACATATTTCAATATGCTTTATGCGCTTCAAGCATTTTAAAGTCTTCAATTACTGTAAAAGTGATGGAATAAATTGCTTGAAATATCAAATAGTTATTTTTAAAAATAATTAAAAGCACAGTTTTTGAAGCCTTTAAAGTACTTCAAGCATTTTATTGAAGTTCTGATATATTTTTTAGAAATAAGACCACCTACAATAGAAGGCAAACCTATTGAAGTTGATTTTAGTATAAGAGTTATGGATATTAATTCAATAAACGTAGAAGACATGGACTTTCGGTAGGTAAATATAACTAAATAGACTAAATAGACCTAAATCATCGTATTCATCATACTTAAATTTTGAAATTCATCTTTATTTAACAAAAAATGGAAGTAAATGGCTCAGTTGTTAGAGTCTTGACTTCCGGATCGAAGGGTCCGTGGTTCGAATCCCACCGAGGGATCAAAATTAATTTTGAAGTAAAAGTGCACTAAAAACAATTAATTGTGAAATTTAAGGTAAAATCATTGGTTATTTGTGGCTAGTGATTTTGCAGTCGCTTTAGAATTATATTTACACTGAATCATTGTAAAATTACATTGGCGACTGTAAAAACGCATTGGTTACGTTAAAATTAAAAATAAACTTGTAATATTTATTAAAATTACAACAAAATAAGTCAAGTTTGTGATTTTACCTTGTGATTTATTTTAAATCTAGATATTACATTAGCCTATAATATACTTTGGTTGCAATTTAACATTGTGATTTATTTGTATTTTTACAATATATTATTTAGTAAAATATACAGTACCTAATTAGATCACTGTTTATTCTAGTCTAGACAACGCAAGGTAGATAGGTATATAAAAACTATACGCGACACACATATTTTATAATTTTTTTTATATTTTAAACAATTAAACATTTTCTTCTTTACATAAAAAAAGTAACAGAGTAAAATAATACTTCAGAGTCTCTACAAAAGGCAAGATACGAATTGATAGTTTTTTCATCAACATGACATCACATTTATTATGTTGCTCTGAACTAAAAAAACGGTTTATCAAAGCACTTATAAAAACAAAGAGTTACAAATTTCAAAGGATTCATGATATTTTCCAAAAAATTAAATATGAAATACTATCTGCTGATGAGTTTATCGGTGATATTTTAGATTCTCAACAATTGGTACACATTATAAAAATATTTTTCACAAATTTCAATATTTTTTGAGAAGAATGAAATGAAATAAATTTTTATAAAATTTACGCCGAATAAATTAAAAGCTCGAGTATCCAATTTTTGGGATCGTGATCTTACTAAACAAATCATTTTTAATTTAATATAAAATTGCAGAATTTTATTAATTACAAAAAACTGATTTCACAGCTATAAAGACAAAGATATAAAATTAAGTTTTGACTTTAAGGGTGTGAATCTGCATGAAAAATTAATGATAGTTTTTTTTTCCTGGGCTCGTCTGACTATGTGTCTCCGAATAACACTGAAGTCTATTGGCTTATTGTGTTTTACCCCATGTTAGTTCATAGCACCCACTCTATCACCTTTGTACCTTGTACAAGTTTGTACAGATCCTTGGGTGAGTGGGTTCTATAGGTTGTTGGATCAACCTGGGGTTGTCCAAAAAGAGCCTGTCTTTTGCGATCTAGAGCTTCGCATTCGCACAGTATGTGTTTGGCCGTTTCTGGTTTCTTGTGACATAGTCGGCACATGAGTTCCCCATTGTACATGCCAATTTTGTTCAGGTGTCCCTTTACTGGGGCGTGTCCAGTCATGAACCCTGTTATCACTTTCAACTGGTTCCTATTCATTAAGAGTAGTTCTCCAGTTATTTTGGGACATGGTCTGCCTATGAAGGCTTTTCCATGTGCCTGTTATGGGGTACTTCCCCAATAGTTGATATGTTGTTCCCGAATCCAGTCATTTATAAAACCCCGGACTGTACTTTTTGGTACTCCTGGGTTTGTGTCTGGTTCCGGTGTTTCTTCTGACCCTCTTTTTGAAAGTTCGTCAGCCTTTTCGTTGCCTTCGATCCCTTTGTGACCTGGCACCCAAAATAGTTTTACTCTATTTCGGTCTGCCAGTGTTCTTAGTTCTTCGATGCATTCCCATACCAGCCTCGACGTAACTTTCTGACTCGATATGGCCTTAAGTGCCACTTAGCTGTCTGACATTATTTGAATATGCTGATTTTCGACAGCTCTTTCATTGTTCGTTTTTGCACATTGCAAAATTGCGTATACCTCGGCCTGAAATACCGAGGAATGTATTCCTATAGCATAGCTATGGTTAGTATCAGGGTTTTTGGAGAATACTCCTGCCCCAGTGCCTTCCGCAGTCTTAGACCCGTCTGTATACCAGGTTTGTTCCTGTCGTTGGGCATTGGGCTCCCTTATGGTGATCTCCACTCTTTCCTGTATTAAAACCTCAAAGGGAGTATTAAAAGAGTACCTCTTGGTTATGTGATCTGATCTCATGTCTAGCACGTCTCCTGTCACTAACCTTGAGATACTCATGTGACCTGGCCTAATGTCAAGATTTCCCAGTGTATTCCCTAATCTGTAAGCACCTAATATAGCCTCCCCTTGTATCACATAGTGAAGAGGTGGGAGTCCTATTAGTGCTTCCATTGCAGCAGTGGGGGTTGTTTTCATTGCCCCCGTTATTCCGAGGCAGGCAAGTTTTTGTACCTTGCTTAGCCTCGTTATTGTTTTCCTTTGCTGTGTCTTTGGCCACCACACCAAAGCTGCGTATGTTATTATGGGTCTCACCACCATGTTATAAAGCCAGTATACCATGTCTGGTTTTAACCCCCATTTTTTTCCAAAGGATCGCCTTGCCATCATTAATGAGGTTTCCGCTCTCCTTGTGGTTCTTTCTAGATGCTGGTTCCAGGTAAGTCTCGAGTCAATCATAACCCCGAGATATTTTACCTCCCCCTTAAGCTGGAGCTTGCACCTCTTAGGTTTAGATGCCCTAGTCCCTCCAATTTCCTCCTGCGGGTGAATGCAATTATGTCAGATTTGTTTGGGCAAATGTTTAGTTCTTCCGCCTCTGTCCATTTTGTTACTATATTTAGAGCCTCTTGCATTCGATCTCTTACTATAGTGTTGTATTTTCCCTGTGCCATGATCACTAGATCATCGGCATATCCCAGGGTTCTATGTCCTGTATCTTTGAGAGCCCTAAGCAGCCCGTCCACTACAAGGTTTCACAGGAGTGGAGACAGCACTCCACCCTGTGGACATCCTCTCGCTACCCGTGCCGCTGTTGTCTCTCCCATAAGGGTTGTGTGTATAGTTCTCTCCCTTAACAGAGTCGATCCAGGACACGCATGTGTCCTCGATTCCTCTGTGTTTGAGAGATCTAATGATTGATTCAACGGAGGTATTGTCAAATGCACCCTCGATATCCAAGAATGCTCCCAGCATTACCTCCTTATTTTCGTTTCAGTTGATTTCCCTGCACTATAGGCGTATTGGTCTTGGTATATTGGCCTTTGAACCAATATCCCGTCTCTAATATGCCTATCTAGCAGTTTTTCCGAGTGAACCCTGAAGAGTTCCCTTACTGTTTCCTTCCCTGTGATTGTGTACTCCCCAAGTTCATTCTTAAGGGTGTTTATTGTGTGTTGTGTGTCTTTTGAGAGAATTTTTTGGAGCTTGGCACATTCTTGAGTGCTTGCTATCTCCTCACAGTGCCTTCTCCAAGACTCTCTCTTGACTTTTCGTAAAGCTATGATGTTGTTACAGGTGCGTATGGTTCTATATAGTTCCCATTCGCCGATTATTTTAGCCTTATTAAATTTTTGTCTCACCTGTTTCCTTAGTATTGCCAGGTCATCATTCCACCATGGAACTTTCCTGGTAGAGTTCCTTGCTATTAAGTGACAGGTATCGTTGAAAGCTCTAGTGACTGTGTCATTAAACTCATCCACAGCCATTTCTAGGTCGGTTGTTGTTCTTATCGTCTTTCTCATCTTCGGAAGATTACATTCCAGGGAAGCATTGTATGCCTCCCAGTCTGTTTTCCTGGGATTCCGATAAGTTTCTTTTGCAATATTACCTTTAATATTGAAGTTTATGTGTCTGTGATCTGATAAACTCTCTTCGTCAGACACATGCCAGTCTGTAACAAAATTACTCAAGTATGTTGATGCTATTGTTACATCTAGTACCTCCTTTCTGTTTTTTGTTATAAAGGTCGGTTTATTGCCTACATTTGTTATGTCTAAATTATTTGCCATAATAAATTGTAGTAAAGACTCACCTCTTTCGTTGGTATCGGTGCTCCCCCAGATCCTGTGGTGTGCGTTTGCATCACAGCCAATGATCATCTGCATTCCGTTGCGCCTGCAGAATCTCACCAACTCCTCCACTTCTATGGTAGGTGTTGCTTCAGGATCGTCTGAAGGTAGATATGCCGATCCGAGTATTACCTCCTTCGGTCCATTTCCTGCATCGATCTTGATTCTGACTGCTGTCAAATCTCTGGAACAGAAATTAGTATGATAGTTTGGTTTATGGTTTATGAATTATGGTCCAAAAATTTTCCGTTACGAGAGTACGGGGTGCTAAAGTTTTAAAAAAAAAGTTAATTAATTAATATTATTTAGTACGCAGACAGTTAACAATAGCAACTAGATTTGGGTATTGTTAAATTTTATTATTCAATAATTACATATTTTTTTCGGACAATATAACGGTTTTTATTTTTTTACTGTCACTGCGTACTAAATTTCATTAACATATCTCAAGCGGTTTCGAAAATATTAATTAATTTCATTTTTTCTTTTCCCTAAAACTTCACCCCGTATTTTCATAACGGAACATTTTTCACCATAGTTATAGTTTATAAAGCAAACTATCATTAACTTTTCTTGTAGATTCACATCCTTAAATATTCGCATATCATTAAGAAACACCCTGTATACCAAAGCCATTACATTAAAACAAAAACGTTTCCTTCACTATAAAATATATTACTTTCTTCAGACGCAGCAAAAAGTCACTAGGCCCATAACCTATTAGATTGTTGATAAGCCAGCACAGACTTTTTAGGGAATGAGATTATAGAGATGCAGAAAATGTATATTTTTATAGACATGCATAAACATAAAAACAAACTATTTATAAACAGATACAGTGATAAAAAATTTAAGGTCAAAATTCTATTTTTGTGAATATATTACTTACATACTTTATATTGATATGAAGAAAATATATAAATATTCAAAATAAAATGCAAAATACTTTTTCCAATTTTGACATATAAAGTAAATATATTTGTAATCACAGCAACTGTCAAAATGATCTACTTTACGCAACCAGTTGCAAAATGTTAAACATGAAACTAATTACGAAAAATTCATTATGTCTCCAGTTACGAAAAAAAAAAAAAACAAATAAAAATAAACCATTTTTTGGTTTTATAATCAATATATACCTACATTATTATTGAAAGTGTATATCAAAGAAGAGCAGGTTGACTAATAAAAATAGAATTTGGTTAAAATTACAATCTAGTAATAATATTCTTTTGGTCCTTATTTTCATTCTAAATCAGCACAAAATAATCAAAACACAATACAAGACAAAATAACCCACTTTTCTGACTACTAAATAAATTTAATAAGCAATATAAACACACTAAGAGTCAATAAAATAAGGCATATGCAACCAGCAATACAATAAAGTAATATTAGTTGTCTAGATGTCAGTAATGTTTTACCAAAATACAATTTTATAAATAATCTAGTCACAATTATTGTATGTAACACGTTACGAAATGCCATTTTATGTAACTCGTTCATGTTGCGGGACGTCGCTCTGTTCGTCCCTCAAATATTCACATAAAATAAGACATTTCGTAATGGTTGCATAAATAACTCACCGACTTAAAATTCGAAGCATTCAAAATAATGATTTATTTAAAAATGCTCTAACTTTCAAATGCGGAGGTTGATTTATTTGAATTTTTTAGCAACTTTTAGATAAAATACTGTAGTTTTAACATTATTTTCGGACATCTAAAAGTAATTTAGTACTCTACTTTTGACACACCCTGTAGGTTAATTCTGCTAATAGTAGATCTGCACACAATTAACTTTATCAAGAAGACTAGACTAGAAACGGTCATAATTTAAATGACGGGAGAGAATAAACTACAAAATAAGTAGAGTGATGTGGCCAACTCACAATATGACAACTGTCAAATATTCTTAGTTACTTGGCAATTGCAGTTTAATTATCAGCACAACAAATATTCACTATCAGCATAACATCATGGTTTTAACGCCTACTGATGCAGCACGAGCAGTTGCTCTGGTACAAGACGGTAGGTCTCAGTATTATGCTTCTAGAATATTGGGTGTTACAAGGTGTATCGTCCAGAGAGCTGCACAACGTTTCAATGAAACTGGTAGTTTTTCAAGACGAAGAGGATCTAGCAGACGACGTTCTACAAATGTTCGAGATTATCGTTTTGTAACATTAAATGTTTTGCGAGAAAGAAATATTACTGGTGTCAAGGCTCGAAATCATTTAGAAGAAGTACGTCAAGTAGCTGTTAACGAAATAACGATTCGAAGGCGATTACGAGAACATGGATTACACTCCAGAAGACCTGCAACTGGTCCGGAGTTACTTAGGAATCACAGAACAACACGTCTTCAATTTGCCAGGGTGCATCAACATTGGAATGTCGATGACGAGTAAAATTTTATTTTCTGACCAGTCAAGGTTTTGTTTACGTTCTCCTGATGGCCGCGAAAGAATATACCGAAGAAGAGGCGAAAGGTTTGACCAAGCAAATTTTTCCACAAGACTCAGTTATGGAGGAGGATCGGTAATGGTTTGGGGCGGCATAAGCATGGAAGCTCGTACTGATTTAGTCATTGTTGGCGGCGGAGCAATGACAGCTAACCGATATATTTCTGATGTGCTAGATCCACATGTAATTCCATTTGCACCGTTTATAGGAAACGAATGCATGTTTATGCATGACAACGCTCGACCACATATTGCGAGGATTCTATCTCAATATTTGGACGGAACAGAAATTCAAAGGATGAACTGGCCATCACGTAGCCCAGACCTCAATCCAATTGAGCACGTCTGGGACATGATGGGCAGACGAGTTTATAACCGAGTTCCTTCTCCAAGTAATTTAAATTTTTGAGAGATGCTTGGCCCAAGAATGGGATCAGATATTGACCAGATGGAGATTCGACATCTAATAGAGGATATGCCACGACACATTGATGCAGTTATTCCCGCTCGTGGGGGAAATACCCGTTATTAATTTGTAACAATTATTAGTTTATTTGTTGTTTGATTTGTTTATAAAATTATGTATTACTCTGCTAAAACTGAATAAAAAAATTAAGAATGTTGCATTTTCTTTAAACCGTCACATTTCGCAAACAAATTAAGATATCGGGGTAAATAAAAAAACAAAATGTTGGAAACAAATCAGTCTTCTTGATAAAGTTAATTGTGTGCAGATCTACTAGCAGAATTAACCTACAGGGTGTGTCAAAAGTAGAGTACTAAATTACTTTTAGATGTCCGAATAATCTTAAAATTACAGTATTTTATCTAAAAGTTGCAAAAAACTTCAAATAAATCAGCCTCCACATTTGAAAGTCAGGACATTTTTAAATAAATCATTATTTTAAATGGATCGAATTTTAAGTCGGTGAGAGCTAATGTGACCTGGCTTTGAGTTTATTTTTTATTTTATTTTACATCTTGGTCACATTTGAGTTGGAACTATTTCGTTGTTTAGATAAATATTCATTTGTATATGTTTATATAGCTCTACAGGATTTATTAAAATTACCGTTTTTCAAATTAATTGGTCGAATCTGAAACACTCGATAATATGACATGTAAGCAAAAATCTGTAAAAATTACATTACATTTTATATCTTACAGATTATGTAGCTTATCAGAATTCGACCATATGCCCAAATCTTTAAAATTAAAAAAATCTTTAAATTCTTCTTTTAGTATGGACATGTTTTTAAAACAAGAATGGCAAGATGCAAGAATTAAAATACCAGAAGAAATGTTCGAATACGGTGATGATTCTGTCACCCTACCTTCTTCATTTTTTGATAATATGTGGCAACCAGATTTGTATTTTTTAAATTCAAAAGTAGTAGGTAGGCGTTGATTATAACTATTATTATCCCCAATTATTCCAGGGTATACTCTTTCCATTGAGCCTTGTAAATAAACTTATTTTACAGTTTATTTACAAAAACATTTGTTTAACATTTTTTAAAGTATTATTACTCCACAGTCAACACATTTTTGAATTAGCGAAAACCATACTTGAAAACATTTTCTCCAATCTTCTGGCCGTTGTTTGTTCATTTCACTTTTAAAAGTATCGACAGCTTCTTCGGCTGATGTAAAACGTAAACCCCGTAATTTTTAATTTACCCGCTGAAATAAGAAGTCACTAGGTGCTAGGTCTGGACTATATTGCGAATGACCCTTGATTTCTATGCTTTGAGCCCGAGGATTAAGACGTTTTTTTTTTTGTTATACGTAAAGATTATATAATTTAATAAAAGTGTTAAACCACAAGAAAATCATTTCTATTTCACTTGTGCCCCGCCCATTTGTTCCTACAGGGTAAAATTTTTGTAAATGTTTTAAATTTTTCTATAAAAGTTATTTAATAGCTAATGAATTGTGCAACAAGAGTGGATGTGATGACCATATCGCATAAAGATAAAGTTTGAGCATGACGCCGTAGAATTTTAATAGTTTATAAAATAAAATAAACATGAAAAAAAAATGATTAATTTAATTAGTTCCCAGCCAGGATTCGATCCCGGACTTTCCCCTTTTACAATTTTAGGTTTAATACTCGTAATTAAATTAGTTTCATATAGTTTGATTCAAATTTAAATTTTTTTTCAAAATGTGGACCAAATAAAAATAAAAATGCTTTTGTTTATCGATTGGACACAAAAATTTTAAAGTATATCTCAATAACTAAAAAATTTCCTGACAAATTAGTTTGAATTGTATTGTCACTTATTTAAAATTTTAAAAATAATAGTAGTTGGCAGTGCAAAATATGAACTGTGATTGGTGGATTTAATTTTTACAGTTTTTTGACAATCTAGAATGAATATAAAATATATTCGTTCAGTTGAACACAATAGCATACTTTTTCATTTTGCAGTTTGTGCGCAGAGAAGCTAATATCCATGTGGGAGTAGAAAAACCTTTTTTACTGCGAGTAGTGTGACATGCGCATAAGTTAACAACAAAAAGTGTCAAAAGTTTTTAATATTCTGGGGTTCATCAAAGCAATTAAAATCTTTACATTTTACTGATTTTCCATTAAATTGACATAAAAAAATATTGATAAAAAATATAATTTTAAACCTGTCATAGCGGAAAATAGGTACATTTTGCTATTAAAAATATTTTTCTGTCTCACCACGACTTCTGGTTCCTCAAACATATTTAATTTTGCAAAAATGATAGGGGAAGCCGGGGCATATTAAGCACCCTAAGGAAATGAGGTAATTCTGATATAGTTTGTGGTAATTGGGAAATTATTTTAGTTCTATTTAGTTATATGTTTATTACCCTTTATTACAAAATACAATTTTAACCTAAAACTCACTTAACAACCAAATTAAATAATGAAATATATTAAGTTAACGAAAAATCATTATGCCCCGACTATAGGGTAAAATAAGCACTGTAATGGGGCATAATGAGCGCTTATTTCTGGCACTGCTCACAAATATATTATCAGTCCTCGTCTTCGTCCTCTTCTCCACCACAGGAACAATGAGCCCATTTTCCGCATGAGCCACAGGCGACTTACCCTTCGCTTGACTGCAATTATGAGTATCCATAGTATAGACAATCTACATCGGAAACGTCACTTTCACAGTCACCTTTAACAGTTTTTTGTTTTTTCGCATTGATTTTAGATCTTTCAGTTTCTTTTTTTATGTTTTCCTTTTTTTCTTTGTTATATTTTTCATCCTCATCATTCTTAAACACTTCATTTTTTAGATTCAGCGTTAGAATTCCCAGCCCCTTTAACTTTGATCGATTCCATTAGCTCGTTCTTGTAAGGAGACTATGTTAAAATAGCTGCCTCCCCGCGATTTTTTGTCTGTCTTCGGTTTTTTGTAGTCTTAGGAATGGGTAAAATTTGCTGTGGAGAAGTAAGAACAAATTTATTTGGGTTGATGTTTTGAGGAGGCAAATCTGAAGAAGGGGATCTGTTTGACGGTCTAGGCTGTGGAGAGTGCCTTATGTTTTGTTAAGACGGTGTTTCTGGACGAGGCTCCATAACGGCAGCAGTTTGCGACTGTTCTATATTTGTAGTCTCGGATGCCACAAAATAAGCATCAGTAAAAATATTTGGGTTAGGTGGCCATAGCCCGGTAACTTTAAAACCGTTTATAGCTACTGACATAGTCGCCGCTCGAACAAAAGCCTTTCCGAAGAGCCCAGCCACTTGGAATTGAGTAACTACTCGACCTTAATTCAATCTTAATCAATTCTTTATTTCGTCTGCGTAGTAGACACTTAATGGTTTCATGAAGCTCACATCTAGTGGCTGGAGTTTGTGGGCATAATGGGGTAGAAAGCACAACAGAATTACACCATGCTCTCTTGCAAGTTCAATAAGTTTTAAATTTTTTGTGTGGGTAAAATGACCATCTAATAATAGTAACACATTATTTTATTTTGAAGCTCTTGACCAGACTATGAATTTTTCAAACCACTTTACAAATAAATCACCTTACATCCAGCCTGAATCATTACACTCAGTCCAAGACCCTGGTGGAGCGCTGTCTAACAGTTCCAGCTTCATTCGTTTCCTAGGAAAAATAAGTGGAGGAATGAACGAACCATCTGCACCTATGCATATTTCCACAGTTAGCATCTTTCCCCCCTCAGCAAATGACAAAGATCCAACTTGCTTTTTTCCTTTGGTCGAGATGATTTTGTTGAGAGTTTTGGCAACAGTGGATATGCCAGTCTCATCAATGTTAAATAACTTATCTGCCGTTATCTGATATTTCTTAACGGTTTCAACTAAAAGTTCAAAGAACCGGTTTACTGAACCCATAGCACGTGCTGCGAAAGTGGCCTATGGTTTCCGCAAGGAAAGAACTTCATGCCTTTTAAGGAAAGCAGACAACCAATCTTCTCCTGCCATTTTGGTTGTATTAATACATTTATGGGAAATTTCGTTTGGTTCTGCCAATTGGTAGGCAAGCTTTCGAAGATCTCTTGGTGTAAGACCAAACAAGCAATTTTCCATATCTTGAATAAAACCAACCAGCTCCAATTCCTGTTCGAGTGTAAATACAAATTTAAAGTGTCCCATACCTTTTTTAACTGCACAAGACATGTCTTGATTGACCAGATATTTACGTATGCGACATTGTAAAGTATCACGCGGAACAGCATAATTTATTTGTTCATTTGTTGCAGCAGTCTGACACGTCATGTTCCGATTTACAACGGAATCAATTGCTTGTGCTATTCCATTCTCTGTTCAAGATTGTATTAATGAAATAACTAAACTCAGCTTTTGATCGTAGAACTGTAACAATTCAGAAAACAAATCAATGGTTGACGTAGTAGCATAAACAAAATCGAATAAAATTGTATCACGTGTACAAAAAATATATCGCTTACGAACAACAACCGTCTCGAACCATTGACTTGACTAAACTGAGTTGCCTGTTAAAACTTCTTGAACTTTACGTCATGTCAGACTGCATTGAAAATTGTCTAAATTTAAGGAGTTGCCCATTATACCCCGGTGCTCTTTTTGCCCCGGCTACCCCTACGGCTTACGTGTTCTATTAAAGCCTAAAATGATCCGGCACTGGTAGCGGGGCCACCACGCATGTCATAACTAGTATTAACTAGTTCGAGTGTCTAAAGACTCTAAAGCAGGCCTGCACAACATACGGCCCGCTATTGTCGTTGACCATTTGTCCTTTTACCAATTTGGCCCGCCTACCTCAAACTATACATTTTTCAGTAACAAAATTGCATTTAGGTATTGTCTTTTTTAAGAGCTCGATAGAAGGATCTGGTTAATTATAAGCTGACGACCTCTTTGTTTAGAAGTTCAACAGAAGACCTCCAACACTCCTCCCCCCCCCCCAAACATAATTTACATCCGTTCTTGGCTCTCGTACACCTACGGTTTGTTTGAACTGGCCCTTTGAAAATCTCAGTTGTGCAGGCCTGCTCTAAAGGGTATTGTATTCTTTATTTACCGCGTTAACATTTAATAATGTTTTGTGTTATTACTTGTTTGTGCAACATGAAATAAAGCAAAAATGTGCCAGAAAGGATCCTTTCGTTTGTGCGATTCTAAAACAAGCTGTGCCAAAATTTAAAGAAATTTGGCTTAATGCTTCAATTCCTGTAGTGACTAAAATTCGAATATGGAATAAAATAAAAAAGTTTCATCAACGATACAAACTTATTCAGAAAAATTTGAATAGCAGAAAAGATACTTAAACGATTCAACTAACATTAGAGTAATTTAAAGAAGAAGCCTCAAAGCTATTTCATATAGCTACTTGCAAATGTGAGTTTCAAACATGTAAGTGTGAAAATCAAAAAAAGTAACGACCAAAGAAGTAAAAGAGTTGTGGCTATAGGAACAGTAGACAGAAGTAGAAAATTGCAAAGAATGAGGCCAAAAGAAGAAGACCTAAAACATAGTTGTAGTTACATATGCAAGAGAAAATTAAGTATGCGGTTCTAGTAGTGAAGACGGTAAAGAGGCAGACGCTGAATCTGATTGTAGTGTTGCTATATCTCTACGTAAGTTTTTGTGTTTTTGTTCAGGTCAAACAAAATCAAAAACGACGACCTTATAGCAAAAAGGAATCTAAGAATGCAATCGAGAGCATCTGCCCTTATCCAACGTAATAGATTTTTCGCGCACCCGAAGAACTTATTATTGTCAATGCATACGGGTGAAAATCCAAGATACAAATAACTTGGTGTACGACGCGACGTATCCTAAAGGCGAGGAGTAAAGGTAGATGGATTATTCGGAGTTGATTTCTTGGAACGAAGTGAGTGTTAAAGAACCACCACTAACAGTACATATGAATGTGAATCTCAAATTAATATTCATTCTAAGTTCTTCTGTTTTCCCATTATTATTTTGTATTACTCAAGCAGTGGAACGTTGCGTTTGCCTGGATAGCTATTCACTAAGTCATAGGAGCGCTCCCATGGGAGTGTTCCCATATATTTTGCTCTCTTCCTCTTAGGTGGGTATATCGTGCTTACTCACTTTTAGCCCAGGTACATGCGTAGTAAGGTCGGAGTAAGCACGATATACCCACCTAAGAGTAAGAGAGCAAAATATATGGGAACACTCCCATGGGAGCGCTCCCATGACTTAGTGAATAGCTACCCTGGTAACTGAAGCATCAGCTGCGGTGCGTGGTCAGAGTAATAGCGATGGACATTGGAAAAAAATTTGATTACTTCAAAAATAGGAATGAGTAATGTTAATTAGTTCATTTTAGAGTTATTGGTTTCTTTTTATTATTCTGAACTTAAAGTTATTAAAAATATAATTTTAAAAAATCTGAGGTTTTGTTTCAATTTGCTGCATTTTGGTAGGTTCAAAATGTTGAAATTTCACTTTGAAACTTAGAAGGTAGTTTTCTACAACCTTAAGTAGCTGCATACTAAAATGTATGTCATGATTTATGTCACAAAAATAAAAAATTAATCAAAATTGGTTAAGAGACTGAAAGTTCTTATTTTATTGAATATGGCATCCCTTTGAGGAACCTCAAGATATAAAGACACCACTTTCATTTTTCGTATGCTTGTTTTTTATAGTAAGAAGCATATTTTTTTAAAACTATGACACAACGCTATTCAATTTTTTTTTATATTCTTTTATTTTCATTCCACCCTATTGTACATCAAATTAGATGATTTGTGGTCAAAGCGATCTAGTGTAGATATGCACTCTTTCACATAGTCTTCTTTTTGAGCTAAAGTCAAGTTGTGGGAAATCCACCGAGAACAAAGATTACGACTTTCAAATGTTTATGTAAAATAGTGTTAATTGTTTTCACATCAATCTTTAAAGTTGCTTGAATGTTTCTAATTGTAATGTGCCGGTCATCTTTAAACATGTTTCGAATAAAATATTTTTTTCTGTAACTGCCGTTTTTTTGGCTAAGAAACTCGAAAACTGTCACTCAAGGAAAGTCGACCTAGTTAAAAGTTAAAATTTATTGTAGTACAGCTTTACGGTAGCGAAGGAATACGATTTGTCACCAAGCACTCAATTGATTTCCTTAAAACATTCTTTACGGATTAAGCCACTCTTGAAATTGTAAAAAATCAGTCCGATATTGCTTCTTGTTCATTTCAATCACTTATTGGTGAAAGGATTACTTTAAAATTTTGTAACTTACAATCAGGTATATTTGACAACTATCAATAACTAAACTTGTAAACTAGATTAAAATGTCAGTCAAAATTTATTGCAAACGTATGATCGCCTACTAGATACGCTCAGTGGAAAGAGAATAGCCCTCGTAATTGTATTAGGCATTCCAATCAAATGAACTGCCAGTGGGAAGATTTGGTATATCTAAGAGTTGCGACATACGATATACTCTGTCTACAATATCTCGAATAAAAAAGCTTCCAAGATGCAAGCATGTCGCTACCCCCTCAGATATACAAAACTTTCCCACTGGCAGCTATTGTTTGACAGATCGTTGGAATGCCTAATTGTTTAAAAATATAGTTTTTCTAATTTTGACATATTTTGTAATCGATCTATTTTATGTAACCAGTTGCATAAAGTAGAGCATTATGCAACTGATAACGAAAAGTTGATTATGTCACCAGTTACGAAATGAAAATAAATAAAAATGCATTTTTTAGTTTATAAATCGAAAAATCAAAAAATCGAAAACCGAAAAATCCAAAAAACGAAAAATCCAAAAATTCCAAATAACGAAAAATCGAAAAATCCAAAAATCTAAAAATCTTGAGGGTAATGCAAAAATTAGATCGGCAACACTGCACATGTCCCTTATTTTTATTATTACTATTGAAAAAATAAACATCGTAGGGCAATCAAATACAACAATTTTCTGAAATATTTGGTTGGAAGTACCTACAAAAGAATGATGGTAAATAATTTTTTAACCAAAATTTTTTATAAATAATCAAATCAAAATTAGAAATGAGGCATTTCGTAACTGGTTACATGAATAGCTATTATGAATATAAAAAATAGAACAGTTATATACACTGGACACTACTATACTATGTTTTTAGAAATTGCAACTTTGACTCACAAATTCTCATCAGTTACCCTATTTAAAAACAAAACAATCCGGTATGCCGCTAGGATGCATGCGATAGTCGCCTGCCAAATGGAATTTTATCACTATCCCATGGATACACAGGTCTGTCCCATAACAGTTGAAAGCTGTAAGTAAGAAAGTAAATAAATATTTACTACGTCTTTTAATTTTAAAATATGTATTTAGATCAATGAACATGAGTTTATTTTGTTTTAGTTTCTTACAATAACAATAAGATGCTGCTTAGATGGCATGGACCTGGAGTTACTATTATTCCAGAATTAAAGCTTCTCCAATACAACATTCTTCCACTGATTTTGGAAGAGACTTATGCCTATACTGTGGAAAAAAATGGTAAAGATATACCTACAATATACAGGGTTTCCCAAAAAAAAGTAGGCCAATCCGAGGGTTTCAATTAACTTTATAATAATGGAAGATTTAGAATAAAAATTTTATTTTATAAAAATGTTCTATTAATTTTCATATAGGTAAATTAATTGATATCTATTATTATTTTTTTCCATTGGGGCCATCATATTCAATATACATCAAGGTGACTTGCAACTAGTGCCCTCTATGTGGTAGTTAACATTTAGATTCAAATTGTAATGTGTTATCCCAAAAAATCATCTACTTAATAAAATTAAAATATAGTGGAAAATGTATTTTTTAAATTAACTTTGTCATCCTGTATATTGAACATGATGGCCCCAATCGAAAAAAAAAAAAATAATGCAGCTTTCTTTTAACTGACCTAAGGAAACTATGGTTAACGGATTGGCACACTTTTTGTGATATCCTATATATTTTCAAAATATTCTTGTTCTATTTTTCTGCTATCAAAAGGACAATAAACTTTGCTATTTTTAGGCAATTTTTCCCGTCTCTTAGTTTACTTCCGTTTTGAACGACAAATCGGCCACCACTTAATCCAGACTTTTGCCCCGTCGACTTTGGTAGTGGTACTGTCATGGTTCAGTTTTTGGTTGGAGCTTGACGCTATACCAGCTAGAGTCACCCTTTTAGTCACATGTCTTCTTACTTTGGTGACAATGTTTACAGGACTTCGATCTGATATTCCAGCAGTGGCCTACATTAAGGTTTGCCAAGAACATATAATACTACCAATTTTTTAAAATATAACGAACGTGTTAAAGACCCCATTTGTCTAGTTTGTTATACTAATTTTTAATACATTAAGGATTAAAGCACAAAAATAATAAGTGCTGTTTTTGGTCCATCTGTCGCTTTTGTGCAGGAATAAAAATACCGCCCCTTTATTTTAAAAAAAGCTACATTTTTTAAACAAAAATTTATAATATAATATATTAATATAAACCTCAATAATAATAAAAAAATATTATAACAAAAAAGGCATACAACAAAACATGTGCATTTTATCTAAGTATGAGCTAAGTTGCTGGTTGCAGTACGAAAAGAAAAAACTAAAATTGATTTTTACTACATACAATTTTTCTGGCTTTTATTGTTACATAAATTATGTCGACTCCTATACATGGCCCTTATGGAAGAATGCTGACATTGTAAAACTCTTTGTTCTGATATATTCATTTTTATCTTATTTTGCATTTTTTATTGTTAGACGTTTTTATTTTCTTTTAGAGTAGTCAGTCAGTTGCTAGATTCCATATTGTTAAGTTGTAATTAAAAGTATAATTGTTGTATTAAGTAATAAAAGTATTTTTTTTAAAAAACGAACTTTGAGTTAGTAGGAGTTAATTGGCGCAGTCAGTAGGATATCGGGATTGATTTGTATCGAACATATCGATTTTCGTTTCTACGATTTACCGTATATCGAACTTAAGTGACTTTCGTTTGTGACATTGTTCCGGAGTGGCTCCTTGAACTTCAGGAAACCCAGTCTATCGCAGACCCGACAAGAATAGTGGATCCAAAGCGGAAGAGAGAATTGAAACCCAAATAGTTCAATTCTGCAGAGATATTTTCTGGGAACGACAAAAATTGCTGACCTGGATTTATTTCTATAGAGGGATGCTCAAAGTTATATTTTTATTGTAAGTACATTTCACATGTCCGTAATTGACGATTTGTCAAATATTCTTTCTAATTTATATTTAGACCCTTCAACTGACTCGAATCTCGAAAATAATTTAGAAATAATAATGCCTGATTTTAAACCAGAATACTTAACTTGTGTACCCAACTTTGACGGTAACCCGAATGAATTAAATAGATATTTATCCGTATGCTCATCTTTGATTGATAATTTTTATAATATTGCTCAGCCAAATTGTTTTCAAAATGTTTATCTGTTAAATTGTTTAATTTCAAAATTAAGTGGCAATGCCAAATTAGTAGTAAATATACAAAATGTTTCAACTTGGAACGATTTAAAATCAGTATTAACTAGAAACTTTGCAGATCAGAGAGATGAATCTTGTTTAAATAGGGATCTTGTTATGATGAAACAAGGAGCTACTGAAAAACCACAACAATTTTATGATAGAGTTTTAAACATCCTAAATCTTTTGTGCAGTTATGTTGATGCTCACGAACACATCCTTGCATCTAAAGCATTAAAACGCGATTTATATAACGATTTAGCTTTAAATACCTTTTTAACTGGTTTAAGGGAACCTTTAGGGACAACAATTAGATGTATGAAACCTACTTCATTAAGTGAAGCTTTGCAATATGTTCTAAAAGAAGACAATGTTCATTATTACCAAAATTTCGGCAATAAAAATAATTTAAATAATGTACGAATTCAACAAAATAGACCATCTGTTTCACCACAAATTCAAAGACAAAATTTTAACCCTAATTTAGCATCTTTTAATTCAAATACGTCGAATAACTTTTCCAACAGACAAATTGCTTTTCCGTCGCAACCTGTCCCAATTCAATCCCAACAACCAAGGCAACCGCAAAGATTTTTCACTAACGCACAAGTTTTTGGAAAACCTCAGCAAAATCAAAATGTTTTTAAACCTAATAGAAACGTAAATTTACCAAATCCAACGCCCATGAGTGTTTCTACTAGAAATACAAGTAGTAACTATAAAACAACACCTATGAGTGTCTCAACGCGTAATTTTGCACCAAATTCATCCAGAAACTATTTTCAAAATAATTGTTATCCTCAAAATAAATTTAATTCGGAGGAATTATTCAATGCTGAAGTTGACGAACAAAATTATTTACCGTTTGAAGAAAACCAATTTCCCGGAAACAACTGTTCACAAGGTGATTTTTCCGAAAATAATTTTAAAGGTGTATCTGTCGAAAACGACGAAATAAATTTTCAATTAACGCCTCAAAATCAGCAAGAAAGGTAACGCCAAAACTTATATCCTTAAATTTAAATAGCTCAAGTGAATTATGTTATGTTGTATTTCCTGAACATAATCTAAAAATTTTAATCGATTCAGGCTCTACTAAATCTTTTATAGATCCTGAAATTGCTTATAAATATTTTTCCAAAACTATACAAAATGATCCATTTGTTGTTAAATCAGTTTTCCAAGAATCAACTCATAAATATAGTACTTTAATTCCCGCTTCAAATATTTTTAACTTACCAAATAATTTAAATTTAAAATTTTATCTTTTTAAATTCCATAACATATTTAATGGTTTAATTGGTTTAGACAACTTAAAATTATTAGAAGCAATAGTAGATTTTTCTAACGGATATTTAGTTACACCTTACGCTAGAATAGAATTAAAATATTACCGAATTAAAGGTGATCTTAATTTAATAACAGTAACGCCTCGCTCTGAACAAGTTATAAAAATAAAAACTAGTATTAAAAATGGTGAAATTGTTATACCGTATCAAAAATTTCCTAATTGTGAAATACCCCAATCTTTATCTATTGCAAAAAATGGTGAAGCCATTACAACAGTTCTTAATATTAGTACAAACCCGGTAACATTAGATCTATCGGAACCAATTATTGTTGAAAAATTCGATAAAGTTCCGATAGAGAAATTTGAACTTAATAACTTCGACGATACTTTTTCTACTAATTTAGATTTTAATAAAATTCGAACCGATCATTTAAATGACGAAGAAAAAAATAAAATATTAAAACTCTGTTCAGAATATTCTGATATTTTTTATAGGGAAGACACGCCACTGACCTTCACTAATAAAGTTAAACACGAAATTCGTACAACAGAAGAAGTTCCAGTTTATGCTAAAACATATCGCTATCCGTACATATATAAACAAGAAGTTGAAAATCAAATTAATAAAATGTTAGACCATAAAATAATTCGCCCAAGCTCAAGCGCCTGGAACGCCCCACTTTGGGTAATTCCAAAAAAATCTGATGCATCTGGTAAAGCTAAATTTCGTATCGTTGTAGATTATAGACGTCTCAACGAAAAAACAATCGATGACAAGTACCCTTTGCCTAACATTACAGATTTGTTGGACAAATTGGGTAAGTGTCAATATTTTTCGACGCTAGACTTAGCGTCAGGGTTCCATCAATTGGAAATGACGGAAAAAGATATAGAAAAAACGGCATTTAGCACTGAAAATGGACACTGGGAGTATTTAAGGATGCCATTTGGCCTTAAAAATGCCCCAGCGACATTTCAAAGAGCAATGGACGGAATCCTCAGGGGCATACAAAACGAAAAGTGTCTTGTATACCTTGATGATATCATTGTTTTCTCAACATCGCTCCAAGAGCACCTTGAGAGGCTTAAAAGTATGTTTGATCGTTTAAGAGATGCCAACTTTAAAGTACAGTTGGATAAATCTGAGTTTTTACGAAAGGAAGTAGCTTATTTGGGTCATATAGTGACTCCAGCAGGTGTTAAACCTAACCCAGACAAGATAAAGGCGATAAAAAACTACCCCATACCAAAAACCACAAAACAAATAAAAGGTTTTTTGGGACTTTTAGGATATTACCGACGTTTCATTAACAATTTTTCTAAACTGACAAAACCCTTGACAAAATGTTTAAAAAAAGGTGCAACTATAGAACATAACGACGAATTTAAATCATGTTTCGAATCGTGCAAAAGTATTTTGACTAATGACCCCATATTACAGTATCCGGACTTTTCGAAGCCCTTTAATTTGACAACCGACGCCAGTAACGTTGCACTTGGCGCCGTTCTATCACAAGGACCCATTGGACATGACCTACCCGTAGCATATGCGTCCCGGACTTTAAACAATTCGGAACAAAATTATTCTACCATCGAAAAAGAGCTTTTAGCTATTGTGTAGGCCACAAAATATTTCAGGCCGTACCTGTATGGTAGGAAATTTTCGGTCATTTGTGACCATAAACCATTAGAATGGTTATTTTCGCTTAAAGACCCAAATTCAAAATTACTTCGTTGGCGCATTAAACTTGACGAATATGATTATAAAATAATATACAAAAAAGGGAAACTAAATACCAACGCCGACGCTTTATCTCGAATAGAAATTCACACAAAAGAACTTGACGATTTAATTTCTCAAGAAATTGATAACGCTATACAGAACGTGACAGACGATCCAAACGCTAACCGCATAATACAAGACATATTTACTAATCCAGAAACATCTGATAATAATGAGTTAGATAAAATGTCAATGATGGCACACCCTGACCTTAACAATAGTGATGACTGGTTAGACATTGAGGACGATGACTCCCATACTATTCACTCAAATGCTGAACAAAATCCCGTAGTAGGAATTCCAATTTCAAATTGTGCATTAAATTTAGGTCAAAATCAAATTATAGTAAGTTCCGTGTTGCATTCACCGGCAAAACCAAAATTAACTATTTTATTCGAAACCAAAAAACGATTAATGGCACAACTGTCAAAAAATAATTTTGAACAGGACGTGATAAATCTTGTAAAAAATTATATAGCTCCTGGCATTCCATATCATATTTACTTCGAAAACCCAGAAATTTATGAACCATTCTCAGTAACTCTCCAAAAATATTTTAAATGGCCTTCAATCAAACTAAAGAAATGTAATAAAAAATTATTAGATGTAACCGATAAAGATGAAATTAAAACAATAATTCGAAATTATCACGAGGGGAAGTCAAACCATCGAGGAATAGACGAAACGTTTTTAAGAATAAAA